AAAAGTATTAACTCATTTTTGTCATCTTCTTCCATATAAAATTTATTACTGAAAGTCTCAAAACCCAAATCATGAAAGTATAACAAGTATAATGGTTTAAGGAAACTGTGATTGGGTCAATTCCAAAATGGGACAGAGCAAAACTGTTTTGTTAGGCCCAATCAACAATGAAACCAAGCTTTCTATAACGTTAGGTTCTTGCCTGCTTTAAGGAAATTTGACAACGTATCTGAAAAATCTTAAATAAGGAGCTCAAACTGTTAAAAAAAAAAATGATGAAATAGAATGTATTTTTAATTCCATTTCCAAAACAGAAACTCTTTTGAACCATTTCAGTAATTTAATTAAGAAACCTATTGGCGATAAACTAACACATTCTTGAGTCTGATTAACACTGTTCAGGATTATAACTATGATTGATAACTGTTGGGTGACATACAAAGATCTTTCCTAGAGAAAAAGTGACTCTAAAATAACTCCTTAGATCATCTGGCTAAGGCTGGGATGCCAGCTTCACAAGATTCATAACTTTGCACATCTTGCAAATAAAAATAAAAGAGAATTATAGAAAAGCAGAAAGTCCAAGTTAGGAAGGAGTCCCCACTTTTTTCTCACATCTTTTGGCCTCATCTCTCAGCATGTAGAATCTTAGTTCTCCGACCAGGGATCAAATTCATGCCCCCTACATGGGAGGTGCAGTGTCTCAGCCACTGGACCGCCAGAGAAAGGCCCGTCTACGTTTTGTAGATGAGGAAACTGAGACCTCATACTTGCCCAAGAATCCGAGCCAGTTAGTGGTGAAATCACACAAATACATCACCTGCTGGCACGTGGTCCAGGCTGGAGCTGTGTCACCTTGGTGCTGCATATGGCTCAAGCCAACATCTCATGGCCCAGGGCTCTGCTGGGTCTGCGGGCTTAGTACAATCATAACTCATTAGTCTACTCACAGCCTGGCCTGCCAGTCATTACAGCTTTCACGCAGATACCCCAACCAATCTAGGGCAGAAACACCATGGCAAACTTCTTGCTGATTAAAAAATTTTTAAGTATTACCTGTGCGTTATTTAAAAATCAAATTGTACAGAATATTATGGGGAAAAAGGGAAAGTGTTCAGCTGCACTCCCCACTCTTAGTTCCACTACCCTTTGGAATCACAATTAAGTCATTGGCAGTCATAAATATGTTAAACATCTCCTTCATGATTCCTTAACTGTAGCCATTAACTTTTTAAAATTTTTGGCCACATCCCACAGCATGTAGGACCTTAGTTCCCTCACTAGGGATTAAACCCCAGTCCCCTGCATTGGAAAGTGGATTCTTAACCACTGGACCACCAGGTAAGTCTGTAGATGTTAACTTTTGACTCAGTAATATTAAAGCTGAGAAGAGTAGCTCAGTGATACTATCTCTTCTTTCTGTCCCCATCAGGTTTTATTAGATTACTTGTAGTCCTTCTACTGCTTAAATTTATAACTTTAAATAATATGTCTAACATTCTATGTATTGCTCCATCAACTTCAAATCAAATATCTTGACCTTCCATTATGTTAGATGAAAAAATTAGAACGCTCTCCTCCCTCCACATCTTCCCACCACCCATCCTCCTTCTGTCATCTCTGCCGTTACTTTCACATCGCCAGGGTTGATAACAGTCATCTTTTGCTCTCCAACTATGATTTAACATTCAATATTTTGGCTAATAGGTTGATCCTAAAGAGTACAACAGCATTTATGATATTATGATGATGATAATTTTTCACTACAGTATCAAGTAGTGTCACTAGACCTGAAGAGAGGGAAAAGGATCCTGTGCACCATTAAATGTAAGGCAGAAGGATACAGGTGTGAGCACTACAAGTACCAACCACTCCAATCTAAGAAGAGTACTAGCATTGCAGCTCACTAAAGAAACACTTCTTTTTAATAATCATCTGCTCCCGATCAAAAAACAAAAACAAAAAAACTGCTTTTTACCACCTCAGTACTTTCTCCTGTTGAGCACACATGTTAAGTTCACCTAACTGTAGCCAAACCAGCAGCAGATCCTTAAGTCAATATCTTGGAATTTGCATTAAGGAATTAATGTTTCCAACAAAAGGGCTTGTCCAACAAGGATGGGCAGTTCTGTATTATACAAAAGGCTTGGAGTTTCAAGTCCAAATTCTGCTTTTGCAAAATAAATTGCCATGAAAACATCACTTTCCTGATCTAAGAAATGAGAGTAACGCCCTCTATGACACATTTTGAGCACTGAGTTGGAGAAAATGCATAAAAAAGTACTGCACACCCTAACCTGCTATGCAAATACAAGTATTGTTGTTATTAATCAGGAGCACCAGGTGCTGCTTCCTATGAAATTGAAATGCAGTGCAGACGCCTAACATCAAATTAAGGCCATTTGGAGATAAAAGAATCAAAATAGTATTTGCACAAATTGGTGTTATATTCCAGGAAGGAATTTAAAACTCCTCAATTAGCCATTAAGAAACCCGCTGCTTTAGATAACTTATTCAATACATCAATAACTTTATGCAAGGCACAGACTCAGCAAGGCACCTTGCTCCTCCCTGCCAGTCGTCAAGGACAGTTGTTGTAAGAACAACCAGATGGAGCACTTCATTGGTTAAATGAGGATAAAATAAAAATGGGTTTTAAGTTTTTCTGTCAGGAACCTACATCTGAATGTGAGTCAACAATAAGAAATTAACTCAGATATCATTTCAAGTCTGTTCAAAGGGAATTTTAAAATATCCAGGAACCTAGATTGGCTTAAATATCCTTCAGTACTGCTCCTTGGACAGTCTTCCCAAATATCAACAACAACTCCTTTTATCAGTGTCAGCACATTCTACACACAGTCCTCTAGAGTTGCAAGGCTATCACTCCAATTCAAAGGCAACCAAAAAGTCAAATCAAAGCTCCCTAGGGATATAAAAGCGAATTTAGACCTGGCATAGGAACTATCTATGTCAGAGGTCACCTCACCATATGCCACTAAGAGCCCCAAGTTCCGAGCAGAGAGAATATCAAGGATATCATTCCCCTATCCTAGGATAAAAAAAGAAGTTTTAACCTAAGGGCTCCAAGTCAGTGTTCAGAGCCGCTCCTGCCACGTTTGCCTTTTTCTTACGGTTAATGCAGACAACCATGGAGAGAAGAATCGTTGAGATGTTTCTGGGATATGCTGAGACCGAAATATGCCTGAGAAACATCTGCATACTAATAAGCCAATTGCGATCCAGTGCAGGACAGTGGGACTCCTTAGGGTTGCAGACCTGCTACACCCTGGCCGTCTCCACTCACATGAAGAGGCTGTCTCTTTCACCCTGTGTGGGCATCTGCATGTTTCCCCTGCTCTTGATGAGAAGAACCTCTGTCTTTATTGGGCAGATATTTCCCTCAAGTGTTGCTCCCCTTAATGGCAGTTTTTCCCTATTATGTGTATTTCCCAGGGAGCCGGGGAATGTTAATGAGTGTCAAGCCCACATTTCTCTCTGTGGCTGGGTTTCCGAACGTGGTTAGAGCAGTGGACGGCTGCAAGCACGCATGCTAATCAGACTCCATCTGCACGGGAGGTTGCTTGCAGAAACAGACAATTATCTTGCTCCATGCGGTGCTGCTTGGGGAGGGGGAGCAGCTGCAAAGAAGTAAATTCCCAGGGCTTATGATGATTAGGGGCCCCCCAAAGTACACTTAAGTCTTTGAAATAAACACCAGAAAAAAAGGTTTCCAAAAAGCATGAAAAGAAAATTCTTACTCTTCAGGTCTCTTCACCATTGATTTCAAAGCATTTTCCATCACTGGAAATATTTCTCTCCAGCTGATTCAGGGACAAGGGCCTGGGCATGGGGAGCTCTCCCACCAGGTGCTCAGTAGTAGGTGGGTAGGTTTCCCTTTCAACTAAATGAAGAAGTTCCGGAACAGGAAGTCAGAGACAATACAATGCCATTGACAGTCAAGAGCGGAGAATATTAAATATCTCTCCCATTGAGTAATCGTTTCTCTACTGCGGTGTGCCCAAGGGGAGAAGTCATAAATGAATTACTGATCATCATAGGAATGTTGAATTTACAAACTACCAGACATAGTCTCTGGTGGCCTCAGTCCCACAAACGGACAGATTTATGGCTCTTTAGGCACTGAGAAACTCTATCCCAAGTAATCATTCGACATCATTATTTTGATGTTGAGAAAATATTAGATGACTGTGTTTCTCATGTTTCACCCCAAGCCTTGGAATATGTTTTGGGGAGTGGGGCATGGGCAGATCACAGCAAAGCAGGGGTCATGGAGGCAATCCAATCACTCAGCTGGTTGGATTACCTACAGAGCTGTGCATTGCACCACATCAAGAGACCAACAGGACACAGCAATTGTCACATCACACTTTAACCCTTAGAAATCCTGAATAGACTACTTTAGGTGTCTGAAGAGGAAACCAAATCGAGAGGCAAAGTTTTGGCTTCAGTTTGGACACTGCTATAAACCTGTGTCAGAGAAGGCAATGGCACCCCACTCCAGTCCTCTTGCCTGGAAAATCCCATGGACGGAGGAGCCTGGTGGGCTGCAGTCCATGGGGTTGCGAAGAGTCGGACGACTGAGCGACTTCACTTTCACTTTTCACTTTCATGCTCTGGAGAAGGGAATGGCAGCCCACTCCAGTATTCTTGCCTGGAGAATCCCAGGGACGGGAGCCTGGTGGGCTGCCGTCTATGGGGTCACACAGAGTTGGACACGACTGACGTGACTTAACAGCAGCAGCAGCATAAACCTGTGTGCATGCTAAGTCACTTCGGTCACATCCAACTCTGTGCAATCATACGGACTGTAGCCCACCAGGCTCCTCTGTCCAAAGGATTCTCCAGGCAAGAACACTGGAGTGGGCTGCCATGCCCTCCTCCAGGGGATCTTCCCGACCCAGGTATCAAACTTGTGTCTCTTATATCTCTTGCATTGGCAGGCAGGTTCTTTACCACCAGCACCACCTGGGAAGCCTCTACAAGCCCGGGGGGCCAACAAACAGTTGAGTTCCTGGACCCTCCGCTCTGGAAAAGCCAGGGGAGAGCAAGAGCAGAGGCTGCTCTGGGTTTCGGGCTCTCAGGGAACCCGAGGCATCGTGGGACACGACAACATCCCCACAGGAGCTGGCCCACGCTGCCATGGCTACTCCAGGAAGGAAGAGCATCCTCCAGCTGCTCCACCCTGAACTGCATCGCGAGGGGCCCAGGGCGAGAGTCACAGCTCCCTGGTTAGGGCAGAAAGGAAGAGAACAGAAGGGTCTCCGCAAACAGCTGGGTGCTTGGCACAGCCAAAAAGAGATTCGATTCTGAAATCTGCTCAGCATCAGGGAAGGTGCCCCTGCTTAGAAGCCTGCCAAGCCTTCTCCTAGATGACATGGAGTAAATTGATGGAACTGGCTTCCTCTGAAAGAACAGGCCCCCGGCTGCTCACACACACTCACACACACACACACACACACACACACACACACACACACACAATCAGATAAGATCTGCCCACTACCAGAGAGGAGGAGAGACTGGAAAAATGACCAATGACTGTAACCCACCGCACTCCATATGCCTTCAAGAAGAACAGAAGAAATTAAGGTGTGAATTCATCCTCCAGAGAAAACCAACAAACGGGGAAAGGATCTCAATTTGCGTGTCCAGATAGAAATGTATTGCTCAGACGTTTAGTCTGGAGCTGAGTCAAATGTTCTGAGATGCAGAGAGGGATGTGATTGCTTAGAGCAGCGCTCCTTGCATGCCACACAGATAACCAACCACAGGGAACCCTGGCCGTCTGACAGCACAGAGACTTATCTTTATCTTGATCCCAAAGACTCACCTGGCTGTATGCTAACTCCACTTCCATGCTCTAACCTTAATCCTGAGTGATCCCCAGTCATGGAAAACATTTTTTTGTGAAGCTAGAAGAGAGAAGAGATAAAACTTCTGTGCCCCCCAGTGCAAAATTTTCTGAATCCTTTCATTTGAATTCCACTCTGTCAAAGTTTAAAAATACTTTCCCGGCATCTTTTTGGTCCAGTGGCTAAGGCCCAATGCAGGGGGCTTGCATTTGATCCCTGGTCAGGACTAGATCCAGCATGCACAGCTAAGACCTGGTGCAGCCAAATAAATAAAATAATGACATTTTTTTTAAGTTTTCCTATTTGTTATCCCATTTAATCCCCATCAGTGGCTCAGATGATAAAGAATCTGCCCGCAATGCAAGAGACCTGGGTTTGATCCCTGAGTTGGGAAAATCCCCTGGAGAAGGGAACGGCTACCCACTCCAGTATTCCTGCCTGGAGAGTTCCATGGACAGAGGAGGGCTACAGTCCACAGGGTCACAAAGAGTTGGGGTCACAACTGGGTGACTAACACTTTGGGCTTCCCAGGTGGAGCTAGTGGCAAAGAACCACCTGCCAATGCCAGAGACATAAGACATGTGGGTTCAATCCTTGGGTCTGGAAAATCCCCTGGAGAAGGGCATGGCAACCCACTCGAGGATTCCATGACTGGAGAATTCCATGGACAGAGGAGCTTGGTGGGCTATAGTGCATGGAGTTGCAAAGAGTCAGGTGCAACTGAAGAGACTTAGCACACACACACGCACAACACTCAAAGGCAGGTCTCATATCTGTGAGGCAGAGGCTACAAGTGCCACTTCTCAGGCATGAAAGATGCAGCATGGAAAACATAAGTGAGTTGCCTAAGGTGACAGAGATGACATCAGAACCTAGACCACAATTCCTGTGCCCCGCTTTTCTCTCCTAGTACATTATCAAGCCAACATCCCCAGTGTGTAATTGCTCCTACAGGCAATGAGAGGAAGGAAGGAAGTTAAATATTTGACTCTTGATGTTTCTGATTTTTACATTATTTTGCTTTACGTTATCTTAGCCACAGCTTCCTTGGTGACTGAGACAGTAAAGAATCTGCCTGCAATGTGGGAGACCTGGGTTTGATCCCTGGGTTGGGAAGTTCCTCTGGAAGAGGGCATGGCAACCCACTCTAGTATTCTTGCCTGGAGAATCCCCATGGACAGAAGAATCTGGTGGGCTACAGTCCATGGGGCTGCAGAGTCAGACACGACCGAGCGACTAAGCACAGCACCTTTTGGCCACAAACAGAAGTAATAATAAAAAGGAAACAGGCTGGAGGCTAGAGCCACCTCTTCTGGGTCAGCATTACAAATATCACTTGGAATGGGCCTTTTCTGCATGTAGACTTGGAAGTGAAAACTGACCATGGGACATGAGCCAGAAGTGAGGCAGCACAGGAAAAGCCCAAACAGGAGAGTGCTAGTCTGGGTGAGGCACTTCTGATTATTAACTGGTATACTGATCTGGATCACTCATCTGTCTAGCGGTTCTCCTGTCCTGCCCTGCCTCACACACTGACAGTTTCCTTCCTTTCATCCCTTGAGGAGCAAGGCCAGTCTTCTCTGCTTGCACAGAGAGGAGTGCAGCCACCCCACAGACCTCTGGGCTTACTCTTTCCTTCACAAATGTCACTAGGTCTTGCTGGAAGGCTATGTCAGTCTGGAAAGTAGGTAGCCTCTGAGTCTCCACCTGGCCACCGTGTTCAAAGTTCGAGTTCCACAGAAAGATGGAGAGTCTTCCTTATTACTCTTGGTCTAGCAAAGTCCCTTACCCCTGAGATGAGAGAAGAGAGGAACCTACAAAAACTCAGCTTCGATAAGGCCTCCTGCTGCTGCTGCTGCTGCTAAGTCGCTTCAGTCGTGTCCGACTCTGTGCGACCCCAGAGACGGCAGCCCACCAGGCTCCCCTGTCCCTGGGATTCTCCAGGCAAGAACACTGGAGTGGCTTGCCATTTCCTTCTCCAATGCCTGAAAGTGAAAGTCGCTGAGTGAAGTCGCTCAGTCAAGTCTGACACTTCGTGACCCCATGGACTGCAGCCCACCAGGCTCCTCCATCCATGGGATTTTCCAGGCAAGAGTACTGGAGTGGGGTGCCGTTGCCTTCTCCTCGATAAGCCCTAGTATTGGCTAATCGTCTCCTCCAAAACTCACACATTAGAGTCCTGAACCCCAGTACGTTAAAATGTGACTGCATTTGGAGATCATGTCTTAAAAGAGGTGCCCTTATAAAAGAGGAGATTCAAAGCACAAACACATACAGAAGGATAATGTGAAGAGAGAGGGAGAAGAGAGATACAAGTCAGGCAAAGAGACCTCAGGAGAAACTAATCCTGCTGACTCTTTGTTCTTGGACTCACAGCCTGCAGAGCGGTCAGAAAATTAATTTCTGTTGTTTAAGGCAACTGGCCTTTGGCGGCTTTGTTAAGTGAAAGAAAGTGAAAGTGTTAGTCACTCAGTCGTGTCTGACTCTTCATGACTCCCATGGACTGCAGCCCTCCAGGCTTCTCTGTCCATGGAATTCTCCAGACAAGAATACTGGAGTGGGTTGTCATTCCCTTCTCCAGGGGATCTTCCCAACCCAGGGATCGAACCCAGGTCTCCTGCATTGCAGGTAGATTCTTTACCAGATGAACCACCAGGGAAGCCCCCAGTGGCTTTGTTATGGCAACCCTAAAAAAAAAGAAAAAAAATACAAGCCCCCAAGGAGAGGAACTTTGGGGTTTTCTTTCAAGCACAAAGTCAACCCAGGCCCTAGGGTAGGAGACACCCTTCAACAGTTGGCTCTGTCCTTCTGTGTCTCCAGTTCTTCATCCATAAAATATGGATAATAACAATTAATACTTCACTTCAAATGTTGTTATAAGAATTAATTAAGATAATGAATATAAAGAACCACCCACACAGCAAGCACTTAAGGATTATTTGCTATCATTATGACTCAGAATGAAGGCCAGACCTTCGACCTTCTCGTGACTCCTCAAGGCATCCACATTCAGCAAATTCCCAATAAATAAAGGAATAGATATTCCTGGGATGAGTAGTTTCAACAGAAGAGAAATTAAATGTAATATTCGTGAAAAACAATGGGTTCATAGAGTGATGTTTTGAATCACTGACCATCTAGCTGTTAAAACAAGCACAAATAAAATGCAGGTCATAGTCTAAGACAAATAGGAGGCACCCATTTAAAATAAATGGTAATGGGGTTCTAACAGTGTTCACAGACCATTATTTAGCTGCTGGTACATACTCAAAATATCATATAAAATAAAGCTTAATTAGACCCAGAAACTACACACACACAGACACACACACACACACACACACATACACATAATCATCTAGCAAATGCTACAACCTCAGAGAGAAAAATAAGAAGCAAGGGCCTGTGCTTGATTTTGCATTAACATGTGACATTTTCTACCTCGGGAAAGTTCAGAGCTGCGGTGCTGTTTTATTGTTTAGGGTTCATGCCTGCATGCGTGTGTGTGTTTTACCTTTTTTCTCCATATGCGTTACAGTGGGATGTAATGATTGTGAGTAAAGTTAATTCTTAGAAAGGAGCAGTCTTGCCTTATACATATTAATAAGTGCTTTCTTTGAGAAGCAGTGACAGCCCTTGATACATTTTGACGAAAATGAAAGGGGGAAAAAAGCCGGCACCACTATTAAGAACGCCCCTGAGGTGCTGGGGAGCCACATCTTTGATACATCAGCTCCTGGTCTCAATGCACACACTTATTAACTCACCTGTGCACCAAGAATTAGAATGAGCTCCTTCTCTAGACACATATTCTTAACAGCGGTCCCAGCAGACTTCCTGGAACCAAAAGCAGGGCTTCCATGTGGGCCGTGGTGTAATTTTCTCCCAGTCTCACAGTACAGTCTGTACCGACAGCATCTCTCAGCAGATTAGAGACAGGCAGCGTGGAAGTGATCGTTAAAAAGCTCGGAAAGGCCAAAAGGGTGGGAGAAAATATCTCGGCTCCCAGCAAAACACTCTGCTTTACTAAGAGAAGGGCACAAGGTTGTACCTTCCAAATTATTGCCTCAAAGATACCAAACTATCTGAAATAGATACACAGAGACAGGTGAGTGCCGGCTCCAGATACCCACATTTATATGACTGCTGTGCCTTTTCCTCCAAGTGCTTTGCAAACACTGTCTCATTAATCCCCTCCAACTCCCCGGGAGGAAGCTGGGTGATGGCAAGTATTATTAGGCCACTGTAGCTAGAGAGGCAGGAGCACAAAGAAACCCAACGATGTGCTGAAAGGATTCAGGAGAGAAGCACTTCAACTCTCAGGACAAAAGCGTCTGCTGCAACAGGATGGTAGTTTAGAAGAAATACTGACAAAGAAAGGGCATGCAAAGTAACCGATACATATTTTATCTTTCCTTTGCTGTCTTGCAGGAGTGTATTACTCAAGATGCTTGGAAGGCACAGCTTTGAGCCATTCTGACTGTAAGGGGTCACAGCCTGCTGTGACCCCGACCTGGGGTCAGTGCACAGACGACCCTTTGAATTTAGGCTTGACCACATGATTCACTCTGGCTAACGGCATATGGATGAAATTGACTACATGTCAGTTCTGACCTTTGGCATTAGAAGTTTTGTGTGTTTCCACCTTCCTATTTGACTACCACCATGGAAAGAACATGTGCCAGCTCACCTCCTTTTTCAAGGAGGATGAGAGACACAAAGAGCTGAGCTACCCAGACTCATGATGAGAAGTGGGGCCATCTCAGATCTGGCAGCCTGAAGCAGAACTGCCCAGAAAACCCAACCCAGATCAGCTGAACTTCAGCCAATGCACAGATGTATAAATGTAAGTGATACGGTCACACAAAAAAGATTGTGCGGCTTGTTATGCAGCAGCAGCCAACCAGTGGAGTTAGCTATTATTGTTATTGTTTATTTTTGGAAAAAAGGAGGGCTATTAAGTGAACAGAGTGCAAATAGACTCTTTAAGCCAGGTGATTGTTATGAGTTTCACTGCACCTCCATCCCCAGCTCCCCTGCAGTCAGAAGCCCTGGGACCCCAAAGCCTCCTGCAGAAGACAAGATAGTTTCTCGGGCTGGGCCCCTTTGCCAGTGTTCCTGCAATTAACTTTCATCATGGTGGGTTCCTTTCTTGTGAATCCGAGAACCTTGACTAATGCACTCCTGAAAGACAGCAAAGCGAGGAGTCAGAGCCAGCATCCACACCCTGAGGTGCCTGTTCCAGAGCACATGTTCTTTCTAATAGACTGAGTAATACCGGTTATTGGAGTTAAGCCATGTTTTCCATTTAACACCTTCATTCAAAGTCTCTTCAAACATCAGCTTTGTATTATACTGCCTTGAGGAATGAGAAAATGTTGAGATCACCCTTGAGTGGAACTGGGTGCAACAGAAAATAGAAGATGAAGGCGGGTCATGATTTGAAGTTGGAGATGGAGTGTGGGAAGAAAAGCAGCTGCCCTAGGAACATAACTGACATTTCCCACCCTGTCTACCTAGCCTGCCTCACCGGAAGTCCTCAGGTTTTTTTAAATAGTCTTACACCTCCTGCAGCTATATGTGTAACAGAGACTCCAATTATTTTAATTGGATGTTTAGCAAAACATTTCCACCCTAAGATACTGGAGAGTTAACGTACAGTTGCGTGCCCTTGGAAGTAACTTGAAATTCTTCAAGCCCATGAGACTCTATAATCATCTGAAAGGTCTGAGGAGATAAGACTATGATATCTGACCACGTTGAGGAACAAGACTACTCCATCTCAAACTCACATGTGTTTCTACCCCTCTACTATCCTAGAGCTTCAAGTGTATACCACTAAAAATTAGGATTCCATTCTGCTAATAATGGAAAACCTAAATCAACAGGATCCTATTTCTCAGAGATATATAAATACTTTTAATTAGCCAGAATTTTGAGCATTACTCTACTAGCGTGTGAGATGAGTGAAATTGTGTGGTAGTTTAAGCATTCTTTGGCATTGCCTTTCTTAGGATTGGAATGAAAACTGACCTTTTCCAGTCCTGTGGCCACTGCTGGGTTTTCCAAATTTGCTGACATTCTCCAAGCCAGGTTTCAGCAATACATAGACCATGAACTTCCAGATGTTCAAACTGGTTTTAGAAAAGGCAGAGAAACCAGAGATCAAATTGCCAACATTTGCTGGATCATCGAAAAAACAAGAGAGCTCCAGAAAAACATCTATTTCTGCTTTATTGACTATGCCAAAGTCCTTGACTGTGTGGATCACAATAAACTGTGGAAAATTTTTCAAGAGATAGGAATACCAGACCACCTGACCTGCCTCTTGAGAAACCTGTATGCAGGTCAGGAAGCAACAGTTAGTGCTGGACATGGAACAACGGGCTGATTCCAAATAGGAAAAGGAGTACGTCAAGGCTGTATATTGTCACTCTGCTTATTTAACTTATATGCAGAGTACATCATGAGAAACACTGGGCTGGAGGAAACACAAGCTGAAATCAAGATTGTCTGGAGAAATATCAATAACCTCAGATATGCAGATGACACCACACTTATGGCAGAGAGTGAAGGAGAACTAAAGAGCCTCTTGATGAAAGTGAAACAGGAGAGTGAAAAGTTGGCTTAAAGCTCAACATTCAGAAAACTAAGATCATGGCATCCGGTCCCATCACTTCAGGGCAAATAGATGGGGAAACAGTGGAAGCAGTGGCTGACTTTATTTTTTAGGGCTCCAAAATCACTGCAGATGGTGACTGCAGCCATGAAATTAAAAGACGCTTACTCCTTGGAAGGAAAGTTATGACCAACCTAGACAGCATATTAAAAAGCAGAAACATTACTTTGCCAACAAAGGTCCGTCTAGTCAAGGCTATGGTTTTTCCAGTGGTCATGTATAAATGTGAGAGTTAGACTATAAAGAAAGCTGAGCACAGAATTGATGCTTTTAAACTGTGATGTTGGAGAAGACCCTTGAGAGTCCCTTAGACTGCAAGGAGATCCAACCAGTCCATCCTAAAGATCAGTCCTGGGTGTTCATTGGAAGAACTGATGTTGAAGCTGAAACTCCAATGCATTGGCCACCTGATGCGAAGAGCTGACTCATTTGAAAAGACCCTGATGCTGGGAAAGATTGAAGGCAGGAGGAGAAGGGGATGACAGAGGATGAGATGGTTGGATGGCATCACAGACTCAATGGACATGAGTTTGGGTAAGCCCTAGGTGTTGGTGATGGACAGGGAAGGCCTGGTGTGCTGCGGTTCATGGGGTTGCAAAGAGTCGGACGCGACTGAGTGTCTGAACTGAACTGAACTGAACTGAATTAGCCAGAATAGAAAAAAAGTCAAATACTGGGTTTCAAAAACGTTATTGTCAGTCGTTGGCTCATTAATGAATCGCTTGAGGAGAGAAAACAGCAAAAAGAAAAGCTGTAGGCGAGAACTAACCCATTCATTCTGCACCACCACCATAACAAAGTTAACTTATAGAACATCTCTCTTCAGAGCAAGGAGTGATCCTTGCTGCAAAGAAGCTTAAAATCAAGTAGCTTCACTTCACAGCACAGGCTAGTTCATTCTCAAAATGGCAAATTCATTGGCAGTTTCTGGGGGCAATGGCACGAACTTTCAAAAGCCAGGCTGAGAGCTCTGTGTCTCTAAGACTAAGTCTCCCATGAGTCTTCACACAGATGATCACCTTCCAGAATCTATAATAAATTATGAAAAAGGCATTAAAACATGAAACCCTTCGAAACAGTGAAAACTGCTGGGTAAGATGAACGGGGAGGAAAAAACAGAGGAGAGCAGTACCTGCATTTGCAATTCGTAAAACTAAAAAGTCTCCTTCACTATGAGAAGCCTGTGGCAGATACGAACTTTCAACCTTCAGTTTTCTACTTCATTTTAAAAGGTTGATTGGAAGTTCTAACACGTCTTAAGTGTAAAGTAGTCAAAAGAAGTGTTATTAAAATTCACGGGTCTTTTTAAAGAGTATTGCTCACTTGTGGCGGTATGACCACCATGAAATGTGATTTGTCAGGCCAGATGCCCCAGCCTTGATAGAGGCCATATCTCCCTTCATACAAGCTCACCTAACACTGCTCACATTTTACTTCACTGCTGTTCACTTCATTTAATTAAAGCCCGAGGCACCAAATAATCTATTTTAAAACTAATTCTATAACTAATTTACTTTAAGTAGGTATTATTGAGGAATTCAATCCTTACATGTAGCGGTTCTTCACTTTTTATTGTAGTGAACTTTAACACAAATGGTATGTTACCTAGAACCCATGACTTGACACTCGTAAGCGGGTGCCCAGATGTAACAGCCTGCTAAAACAAAAAAACATTCCTAGGAACTCTCTCCCAAGGAATTCAGCAAAAGAAGCAAATCAGGGTACATGGATCTATTTTCAAACTTGCTAAATCCATCCAAAGCCATGAATTGTTATAAAATCATTGGCAATTATCATCATTTATCAGGTTCATCTTACAGTAGCAGAAATGATATTGGATGATTAATTATATAGATCTTAAGAACTTAAGTGGAACTGGAAAGAAGAAAACAGAACTTCAAAAGGCCCAGAAACTTCTTAGAGAAAACACTCCTGGAGGATTCTGGGATTGCGAAAGATATAGTCCTTGGGGCCATATATTTGAATATATACTTTATCTCACATTTAATGTTTGATACAGTTGTGGATCAGACTAATAGCAAGATGATTAGAACTAATAATATCATATTCACTGAGTGAACTATAGCATAGATATATATTTTGTTCCTCAATTTTAAAATGACATCAGATGCTTTTTCATTTTTAAAGTCCCTACTGG